ATATCGCGAGAAGTACGCAATACTTCTAGCGGATTCATTAAATCGAAAAACATAACGCGCTTTTCATGTCAGTACCGAAGGAAATGCGTGATTTTTCCAGCGATTTGGTGAATAAAATAAAACAAAATTGAGTAATATGCGATAATCACTGCAATATCGTGGCAAATACGCGATTTTTCAGCGATTTCGTAAAATCATGAAAAATTACGCGTTATTTACGTCAATACCGCGAAAAGTAACTAACTCTTCTAGCGGTTGATTGACCATAAAGAATCACACAATTTCCATCTGAATACCGCGGAAAATACGCGATTTTTATATCGATGCGAATCACCTCATGGAGTATGCAATTTGATCTCCAGAAAATTAAAATGGATGGCTCCGCGATCAAGTGAGCGTTCACGGCCACCGACCAAATTTTCGGGCACGGAGGAGCAATTAGATGTATTTCATCCAAACGGAACTACGTGCATTAAGACGTGAGACCTGTTATGCATATATTCTTATGAGTCTCAGGACTCATGTCGTAATGCATATAGTTCTGTTTGACAGAAATACGTTCAATTGTCCGTCTTAAATTTGATGTGAGACTCTTGATTTTATTACCACAAGTTTACAATTGGAACAAACTCAGATGTCATCGATGACACTCGAAGCCTACTTGACTGGCCATGGGTGTGATTCCGGGGCATCGGTGTACGAGAGCCTTGCAAGTGCCTCCCCCCCCCCCCCCNAATGCACAGCCTCAGAGGAGGCAGTCCGCTTCCATTTTCCTTCAACTATGCTGACAAACATAAGTCGTGGTCATATTATCAATATTTTGGTCGATATCTCAAGGTCACGCAGTTAATAAAACAAACGATGACGTCCGAGTCAATTATTTTGAGTTAAGAAACGTTATTTTTGTATAGTTAAGTTTAAGTAAAAAAAAATTGACGTTGAGTTAAATCCGCACGGATTTACTTCACTCCAAAAAAAAATAAAAAAAAATAATTGTAAGTGAGAATGGATTTTTCGTATTTTCCTGACGTACATTCTACCGACCGATGATATCAATTTCAAAAATCAGCCAGTTGTATGGGGTGATATCAGGGTCAAAAGTATACAATATATATAAACAAAAAGATTTAATATATTTGTTAATTTTATATAGGTCGACGAGAATTCTTTATGAATTTTCCTTTTTCCTCCATATAAAACGAATTTTTATTTATCAATCCTCCGTTTTATAAAAATACACCGTGAAAAATACACGGCAGCGAATATAACTTATATATATGACATTTTTTTATTTATACTTTTTTTTTATTTATAATTTTTTTTAAAAATACCATTTGTTTTATTTTTTTACAATTAATAAAAAAAAAAANCATTCTGTAGGGACGGTGAAGTAGTCGGGTACGAAAGGTTCCAGAGCGCTCCGCGAGAGCGCTCGAGTGGCGCGCGGCGGCCGACCGGGTGTACTGCAGTACTCCGCTACTTCACCGTCCCTACAGAATGCGCTACTGTCGCAATCACTTGCGGCAGCTGTAGCCATCGAAATTTTTACATATCATTAAATCTGGGCACGGTTTAAAATTAAATAAAATTTCCTAGGTGATTACTTATTCGAAACTTAAGTGACGGGAAAAATTACCGTCACAGGGGGGTCGTTACCTCTTTGCCTCGCGCCCGGGAACAACTTTTAAATTTAAAATGGGAACTCTCTTTGCCTGATACTTCGTAGAAGTCATACCAAAAATACGTAATATCCTTCCAAAAAAACCGAAAATACGATTTTTGTACAAAATTTCGGCCCAATCCAAAAAATGTCACTTAATACAAAAAAAGAAAAAAAGAAAAAAAAAGAAAGAAAAAAAAAACAAACCAGGCACCCAAAAATATGATGGCAATACCGTTTGGATTCATCATTTAAAAGGAAATGATATCAAAACGGCCCAATTTTCTCTTTCATGCCCATGCAATATACCATACACCCCAACGTTTAAAAAAAACAAAAAAAAAAACAAAAAAAATTAAATACCTTTAAGGTATGATGACTTGAACACATTTATTTGATCCGTCGCTTTAAAGGGGTATGATATCAAATCGGCCCAACTTCTCTGAAATGTACCCATCTCTGATCAATAACTTTGTCGAGACCTTCCATTCCTGAGGAGACACTGAGCATTACTTGACCCTTAGTTTATGTCCTCGTTTAGATGCCAAAGAGGTCCTTATGAGAACTATAATGAATTTTTTTTTCTTTAAAGAGATGAAGAACAAAAAACCGTCATATAATTGAAAAAAAATTCGAAGAAAAAAAAAGGAACGGCACGGCACGTACAAAAAAAAACGGGGAAAAATAGATACATTGGTATGCCCCAACACTTTGGCATGGGTGACCGACCCGGTCTTGCCAACATCCATGAACTTGTTAAGAGAGAAGCATTTTAAGTAGGACTTAGGAGGCACATAATATTCGCAATAATACGCCAAGGTTCAGTAGTTTGTAAGGCGTTCTATCAGAAACAAACAAGGAACATGGCATGGCTTGAAAGTTGTTAAGTTGTTCACTCATGTGTGAATATCTTTCAGTCAATCTTTCAATGACGATTTCAAGAAGGACTGATCCTTGACGATGATACTTGTTCATGTATATGCAAGAGAGACGATAATCACCCTACTATCTACCACTTGTATTTACGGCCGGCCGGCCCATTCCTTTTTTTTTCTTCGAATTTTTTTTCAATTATATGACGGTTTTTTGTTTTTCATCTCTTTAAAGAAAAAAAATTCATTACAGTTCTCATAAGGACCTCTTTGGCATCTAAACAAGGACATAAACTAAGGGTCAAGTAACGATCAGTGTCTCCTCAGGGATGGAAGGTCTCGACAAAGTAATTGAAGATGGGTACGTTTCAGAGAAGTTGGGCCGATTTGATATCATACCCCTTTAAAGCGATGGATCAAATAAATGTGTTCAAGTCATCATACCTTAAAGGTAATTTTTTTTTTTTTTTTTTTTTTTTTTTTTTTTTTTAAAAAACGTTGGGGTGTATGGTACATTGCATGGGCATGAAAGAGAAAATTGGGCCGTTTTGATATCATTTCCTTTTAAATGATGAATCCAAACGGTATTGCCATCATATTTTTGGGTGCCTGTTTTTTTTTTTTTTTTTTTTTTTTTTTTTTTTTTTTTTTTAATCCGGTTACAATGAAAACGCTCTCCAAGAGCTTTAAAATAAGTAAGAAAAGGTAAGCTTTCTGCAATTCCCTTCTGGAAAACAGACTCAAAGTTGGGTTCGGATCGGCAGGGCAACTAAACACACTGCGGAGTGACGCGTAAAGTATCCTGTTATGCTGAAGGCGCTTGGACGCAAATCGTGTTCTTCGGAAAATTCTCAACGCGGGGGCAAACTCGTTGTTGGCATGGAAGTCTTGGCTACGGCGCACGGTACAGCGACAAGACGCGACACAGACGCTTCGAGGAGCGACGATTACTCAGCTTAAGTCTCGAGCAGCGGAAATATCCACGCTCTTGACCGGATAAGTTTGAATAAAGTGCTATCAAGTTTCCCGCCCTCCCCTTTTCCCAACCCCTGCGCACTTCCCACGGCAGCACTCTCTACTACTCCAGCACCGGTACATTTAATTAGGCCTCCGACTACCTCACACGTGCATTTTTCTATCCTCGTCATCCGCCATTGTCAAGTCGCCGAGAATAGTGATTTACAGGGTGTCCTAAAGTTAAACGCGAATACTTTCAGAATCATCAAAGAGAGACTTTTTTTGTTCTAAGAAGTTTTCCTAGCCCCCCCCCCCTTCCTCCTCTCCATTCAAAGTTACAGCCCCTCAACGGTCAGGCCAGGAAACAGTAATTTCTTGATTGTGATTCAGTTTCGATATCGTCGTTTAACACGATTACCACACTTCTAACCTCAACAAAACAACAGAAATCATATTTTTAGGAACGATTCGGGGTGGATGCTATACCTCTAACGATGAGCGGGGTTTTTAGAGAAACGGTATGAAGCAAAAAAGTCACATTATGATCCCGAAAATTGATTTTTAAAATATTAGAGTTAAACTATGGGAAACCCTATATTTTAGAGACCCCACACTAATAATCGGCCCAATGCAATCGAGTAAGACAAAAGTTTATCTCGGAGGATAACGCTATTTTTCGCCTAATGATGATTGATAAACCATTTATCGGGCGAAAAATAAAATAAAATTCGCCTCTTGATGACTAATGAGTGTCGGAGTGGGCACTTTGCAAGACGAGTTTTTGGAAAATATCTTGCACCTTACAAGGAGAAAAAAACCTCGTGCGTCGGACCCGAAGTTTAGGTCATGTGGATCTATGAAATTTTCGGATTAAGCATCTGAACACTTTAGGTCTAGCTGTCGAGGTTCGGATCACACATCTGAAACTCCAGTTCTTACATCTGAAGTACTTCAGATGTGAGAACGAAGTTTTTCGGATGTGAAGACCGAAGTTGTTCGGATGTGAAAGCCGAGGTAGGTACTTCAGATGTAAGAACTGAAGTTTCAGATGTGTGATCCAAACCTCAGCAGCTGGACCTAAAGTGTTCAGATGCTCAATCCGAAAACTTCAGAGATCCATATAACCTAAACTTCGGGTCCCACGCACGAAGTTTTTGTCTCCGTGTAGGATTGTCGAATCAATGAATTTGCTCAAATCTTCGGCTATGAGTCATCATTGGAGAAGCTTTTGACTTCCGAAAGTGACTTAAAAAACCATTCGGAAAATAACAGAGCGTGGTCTCTGCAATAGGTACTTTCTCTCTGCACTGCACATGTTATTCATGTCTGAAGGGGTTCTTCGGGAAAAATCAGTCAACACAACATGCAATTTACGATTCAATGGCTCTCTTACGCACACGAGATGAGGTCATATAGCTGCAGGCTATAACTAGGCAGGTAAGTTTCAGATATTATGACATGCAATATGCGCTCGATAGGTGGAGATAAAAATGCAAGAATGATTTACATACCGAGAAGCAGCTCGCAGCGTGTGTTCCTGCAAAAATAAAAGAAAATCGTCAGTACAGAAAATGATAAAAATCAACACACTGTAGCGACTAATAATTTGGCAGATAAGAAGAATAAATGAAGAGCCTAGGAAGATTGTCAATGATTGTCACTGAAATCCTAAGATTTAAGCCTGATTTTTGACGATGAAATATTCAGGCACATGCAACCAGTTTAGAACATGGTGATTGATTGAAATAAAATCGAGCTACAAGCCAAAAATAAATTAAACAAGTCAGTTAGTGTTTTCAAACTACATGGAGATGAGAAATAATAATATTAATTTTTAGCTTGTAGCCCGATTTTTTTTCTTTTTTTTTTCAATCAATCACTATGTTCTATGCAGCTTAGCCAGTCGTATTTGGAATTAAATGTGCGACCTGTTCGTTACATGTATCATCGAATTTTGCTTTTTTTTTCGGCGTTTTAAGCACCTGGTAAACAAATATTAAAAATATTTATCGATACTTCGTCGAACACAGATTTTAATGAAATGAGCTTGTCTAGTGATTTTCCATTCTTGCGCTTTTGAAAATTGTGGGATGCACTCAATTCAAAAGAGCTTATCCGGATTATTTTTTTTGCAACGACTACAATCCACGAATAACGAGTTATAAGTAACGAGTTTCCATTCAAACGCACATACTGAGGAATAAATATCTCAAAATTGTTGGTGTTAGAAGGTTGGCTGCCGTTCTGGGCTCTAAGATCTCCACATTTCGACGTGTCCGGGGTCCGTTTATTTAACGCCAGTTTTACTTCCTCGGCAATGAGAATGGCAAGAGGGAACAGAACCTCAAATACGCAACTTAAACTCGTTTTTTCGTGAATAGTCGTCATCGTGCATAAAAATCCAAGTGAATAACTGTGAATTGAGTGCACCCTGCACTCCACACCTTTCAGACGGTGTTAATTCATACACTGGAAAAAAACACATTGGAGCTAGAGTCTAGATTCTTAAAAACATCGACAAGAAAAAACTCTTGATTCAATCAGATTTAAGCTTAAATCAAGAACCAAGCCTCTTAATTTGAGCGGATTTCCTATTGATTTAAGCTTAAATCTGATTGAATCAAGAGTTTTTTCTTGTCGATGTTTTTAAGAGTCTGGACTCTCGATCCAATGTGTTTTCTTTTTCCAGTGTAATACATTTTTATGCTTTCCGTGGACATACAAAAAATACGCAATTTTTTCGGCGTATTTGAACAACATAAGAAATTGCGCTATCAACTTGGTATCGAAAGTAAACATTTTGCGCTTGGAAATATTTTGTCAATTTTTGCTAAAATAGGTAAGAGTTGCCATCAAAACACAATTCTGTGCTTGGCACAACTGATCCAGTTGCCTTGCGGCTGTCAATTGCAGAGGGGTAATTGGTAAAGTTTACTGAAAAGAAAGGAAGAACTTCTAAATACGTACCAGGGGAGAGTTATCCAATTGCCCGACGCCAAGCTGGAAGCACTCACGACACGACACTTTCACTAACAAAAATCGACTACGAAAAAGGCGTTAGCATAGATGATTAATATTTGAAAAATTAACAGATTACCACCAAAAAAGAATTGCGAGTGCTTAACTTACTTAAATTCTGCCCAAATAAGGTGTTTACATTGGTACATTACATGAGAAGAAAATAAGAAAAATCATAAAAAAAAATGATTATAAAATGTGTATCTTGAAACCAGAAATACAACCAGGAGCTTCTCCTGTGGATGATCAAAGAACGAAAAAAGGGGAAAACCAAACATACTTGATGCATGTTGCAAGAGCATGCATTCTTCCATTCTGTTAACGTCCAAAAGCAGATGCAATATTAACAATTATTATTTTTGTTCTAATTGCTTTGATTGCTTCAAGTTCCAAAAACTTTCTATTTAGTTTGCTTTTGTAAAACTGATAAAACATAACTTGATTAATTATCGTCAAATCATTACCGTGGATGAGACCCACGATTAGCACAGTGGCGTGGGGTGAATTGCGATACATCGATTGTTATGCGATTTAAACCTATGGAAAATGATCGATAAACAGGGTGTTCGCAGCGAACACCTCAATAATCGATTCTTTACCATAGGTTTAAATGGCATAACAATCGATACATCTCAATTCACGCCACACGTCACTGGATTAGCATCAATCCTAATTCATCGATCGGCACGGTGCGTTTTAAACAATTTTAATGCGGTCAACATACCACCCGCGATTTTTTTGCGGAAATGTCAACTAGAAGACCTACTGATTGAGGAACAACAAACCGCGAAATCTGTGATGGGGCCGTTTTTGAGAAAATGCGATTTTTCGCTTTTTTGGCGGGAATTTCGGGTCAAGGCGCTGAAAAAGTCAAGTTAGGCTGTTTTTGTAGTTCGTAAATGCATATCCTATACATTTTGAGTCAATCAAGTGCCAGTAGATAGCTATTTGTGCATATTGCCCAAAATTCATATCCTTAAATCCACGACTTTTGGGTTTTTGGGGGGTTAGTCAAGGAGAAATCCGAAAAAAAGAGGGTTAACCCGGAACAAATTGCTTAACAAACTTTTCCTACGTAAACTTCTTCAGTAGGTCCTATTGAACAACATACTAAAAGTTTACCACGGTTCGCTCCCGGAACACCCCCCCAAATTGCCTAAATTTCAAAATGGCGGCCATAATAAGGCCTCTGGGAGTTCGATTTTTTTAAAAATACGCATACAGTGTCATGTGAGGTGTCAATTCCTATGTAATTTTGGTCGTAGATTTCAAATATGAAGTAAAAAAAGTCCCTTGATCAAAAAGGGGTACCCCAAATCCAAGATGGCAGCCAATTTTGAAAGTCAAGAGGGTGGATTTTTAAAAAGTTCGCGTGATAAGGCAAGTGAGGTATCATTTCTTATGTAATTTTGGTCGTAGATTTCATTTATGAAGTCATAAAAGCCCTCAAGTCAAAGAGATTGCTCCAAATGCAAAGATGGCGGCCAGCTTTGAAAGGCAGGAGGGTGAATTTTTGAAATGTTCACGTGACATCCCTAGTAAAATAGAATCAACCTGACGTCAGGGTATGTTTCATAAACTACCCTGAGTCAGATTGATATCAGCCTGAATTAGTCTGACTCAGGGTAGTTTATGAAACGTCAGGTTGATTCTATTTTACTAGGGATGTCACGTAAACATTTCAAAAATTCACCCTCCTGCCTTTCAAAGCTGGCCGCCATCTTTGCATTTGGAGCAATCCCTTTGACTTGAGGGCTTTTATGACTTCATAAATGAAATCTACGACCAAAATTACATAAGAAATGATACCTCACTTGCCTTATCACGCGAACTTTTTAAAAATCCACCCTCTTGACTTTCAAAATTGGCTGCCATCTTGGATTTGGGGTACCCCTTTTTGATCAAGGGACTTTTTTTACTTCATATTTGAAATCTACGACCAAAATTACATAGGAATTGACACCTCACATGACACTGTATGCGTATTTTTAAAAAAATCGAACTCCCAGAGGCCTTATTATGGCCGCCATTTTGAAATTTAGGCAATTTGGGGGGGTGTTCCGGGAGCGAACCGTGGTAAACTTTTAGTATGTTGTTCAATAGGACCTACTGAAGAAGTTTACGTAGGAAAAGTTTGTTAAGCAATTTGTTCCGGGTTAACCCTCTTTTTTTCGGATTTCTCCTTGACTAACCCCCCAAAAACCCAAAAGTCGTGGATTTAAGGATATGAATTTTGGGCAATATGCACAAATAGCTATCTACTGGCACTTGATTGACTCAAAATGTATAGGATATGCATTTACGAACTACAAAAACAGCCTAACTTGACTTTTTCAGCGCCTTGACCCGAAATTCCCGCCAAAAAAGCGAAAAATCGCATTTTCTCAAAAACGGCCCCATCACAGATTTCGCGGTTTGTTGTTCCTCAATCAGTAGGTCTTCTAGTTGACATTTCCGCAAAAAAATCGCGGGTGGTATGTTGACCGCATTAAAATTGTTTAAAACGCACCGTGTCGGCTTATAGGAGCATTAGACTGGTGCGTTTTACTTGAATGACGAACTCTTATGACGTGAAGATTGTGACGAAAAAGCGAAAATCTGTAATTATTGGAGAGAAAACCAACAGTATTGGCGGCCAAGTTCGTGATTTGAACTTCAAATTTACTGAGTCAATGAAGACTAAAAATCTGACGACTAAAAATCTGACGACTAATATTACAGAAAAAAATATTTTTGCTTAAAAAAATGAAAGAGACCGGTTTCATTACAGCACATTGCAAAGCGCCGTCATTGTAGGCATTTTTCCTCAAACCTATATCTACTTTCGTGCAACAATTACATAAATAAAAAACAACAAGAGTCCGTATCATGAAATGTTTTTGTATGAGGAGTTGCAATTGTTAAACAGCTGAATCGTATTGATTTAGTTTTTCTTTTGGTTTCTCAAAAAAATGAGTGAATAAAATAAATCACGGAGAAGTGAGCTCACTACATACGCATAAATCTCGGTCAAATGTTTCATGTTCGGTGATGACCACTAAAATTATTTATGTTCAGTACTCGTTACAATAAGTATGTTGAGGTTAAGTAGGTGTAACGAGTGCATTAAGAGAAACTCTAAAAATTATCTTAAAACATAAAGAAAAATAAGTAATTTGAAAAATTAAGCTTTTCCAAATAGTTGTCGTTCGTTAGAATCGGTGACCTGAATTACCAAAAAGAGGACTCTGGTAACACTTATGACATTAACATTAAAGACCGGTAAATGATTGAACAGGGCCTGAAAGGGGGAAGTGAACATCTCGCGTTTCTACTTTAAACTAATTCTCAACCTAGCTATCAAATTGGGCTTACGGCGATTTTGAACTTATATCAGATCCTGTCGATTTCCTGATTTTTACATCCCTTTTTAGTCTTTGTGAATATTAAATTCCCTAAATTTTCTGTCACTTACAGATAAAATTTCGACACAATTTCTCAAAAATATACTTTGCTTTGAACAATTTCAGGGCGAAGTCTTGACATTTAGAAATTCTAAATTCGAGAACTTATAGGCGGAGGTTTTAGCTTTGTCCACAACAGGACATGTAAAAGCAGTGGAAAATAGTTATTACACTTTTCGACCAGAAACAGAGTTTCAAAGGACCACAGCAGTGATCACTGGCTTTTCAGGGTTGGGTAAAATTCCTTATCATTCCCAGGTTTTCAACGACTTTTCAAGAACTGTTTACCCTGAGATGTACATCATTATCAGGGCTGCCGATACTCTCAGGTTTTACGAATTTTTTACGCACTCGCTATTCATCGTTATAAATTTTACTCACTTGCTACTCACCGTTCTCTATATTTCTCACTTCGATTCATCATTGCCTTCTTCTCACCATTTCTCGATTTTGCTCTCTCTGTGCTCATAATTTCTCGATCTTACTCTCTCTTTAATAATTGTGTTTCGATTTTATTCACTTCTTCCACACCATTTCTCGCTTTGACTCTCTCTTTACTCACAGTTTCTCAATCTTAGTCTCTCTTTAAGCACCATGTTTGGATTTTACTCACTCTTAACTCTCCTCTCTTGATTTTCCTCGCTCTTAACTCACAGTTTACTCATAGTTTCTCGATCTTACTCTCTCTTTAATAATTGTGTTTCGATTTGTGTAATTTACTCACTTCTTCCTCACCATTTCTCGCTTTTACTCTCTCTCTTTACTCACAGTTTCCAATCTTAGTCTCTCTTTAATAACCGTGTTTGGATTTTACTCACTCTCGACTCTCCTATATTGATTTTCCTCACTCTTTACTCACAGTTTCTTGATTTAACACACTCTTCACTCACCGTTCTCAATTTTACTCACACAAAACGCGAAAGATATAAGTTTTTTTAGGATCGATAATCGCTCCACCGATCGCTTCAACACACTGTGAGACATTTTGATGGAGAATAATTCATACATTATTGGATTACTCGCAGATCGTTGGATTACTTAAGAACTGATCACTCGTTTTCGTACATATTTATTACAAACCTATCCTCAAATTACCCACGAATCGGCAGCCCCGATTTGCTTAAAACTAAGAAAAATGGGGTTTATTGCTCGCAACAAAAACAACAGTTTCCCTGACAGTTATTCGTTGCGCTGAAAACAAAATAGTCGTATTAAGAAACAGCTGTTACTACTCTTGCTGTTGTTAATAATTTAAGCTGCTGATTTTACTTTGTCTGGTATTGGCTGCTATGAGTTCTTCTTCTCCTACTGCTACTGACATCGTTTCCAATCTCTGGTAAACCTGTTTTCCCAAATCAAGGAGTTTTTGTAGCTGCTGTAACTGCTTTTGCTGCTGGATTTTTTTTCTTCTACTCCTTCTGCGCGAATGAGCATTTTAAAATGGACTGGTTTTATTAAGCATTTTTGGTAGGTAGGCGCTGTATTTAGACTTGCAGGTCTCTCTTCTGTCTCTTAAAATCTTTTTTTTTCCCACACTAAATTCTCTGCCTATATCTATTCTTTTCGTAACTCTTCTTGACTT